GGGAAAGTTGCATTTTTATGATATCTCTCCTCGGCGTTTGTTTCCAGAGCAGGTTCACAGATTATTTGTTGTGTTTTCCACTGATCCTAATAAGGGGCTTTCATAGCGAACATCAAAAGGCCAGCTGGCAGAGCTGCATAGAGCTCCTCAAGGTAAATGCAAGTAGGCCCCCATCAAACTTAGCACCGTCAGCAGTATCTCACACACACACAGTGCAGTTTAAAGAGACACCAGTGAGTCAGAACAACAAGTACTTCACATATCAGTGAATAACCTTCAACAAAAACCCATTTAAAGCAACACATGCATGTAATATTGAGGTTGAAGTTCTCTTTTAACTGTAGCAGGAGCTACATCATATGCTTACATCTTTACAATAATTACAACGCTCAAATGATCTCATTCCTTTTTCTTTTTTTTTGCTCTACTGGGTAGAAAACACACTCCACAATGATAAGGAGAGGTTCTTCATGATGCACAATAAGCAGCTGCTGAAGATCTGGCAAGCAAAAGAGAAAGCTCATCTACGCAGAGAGAAAATTAGAACCAGTACAGTGGCATCAAATATGAGACAAGTAACAACAGGCTCCTCTGACTTCCTGCTTAAGAAATGCATTTAAAGTATCAAAAGTAATCTTTCTTCAAAAGAAAAGAAAAGAAGACTCCTGTGAGTGGTGTATTATTACATTTGACAGTATTCGACTGTTAAAAATGATGCATGAATACGTCAGTTGCATTTTAATATTGCTCCTTGATGTGGAGCTGGCTTTAACAGTTTTACAAGATAAAACTGACAGTTATTTAAATGAAACCATCTAAGGAACTGAGAGCAGCTCAAACATGGAAAGGTGTCCCGACCTGCCAGTGGTGTTATCGAAAGTGGCCACAGCGCTGTATCTAAATAGAGTACTTGCCTGAGTATAGTCAGTTACGGCGACAGCTGCACAAGCTTACATTTGGATAAAAAGGCTTCTGACTCCATTACACAGATAAGATATGTTTAAATAAGAGGACAGAGTGAGTCAGATCATTGCTGGCACTGTAGCTTGGAGCGAAGCACTGGTTTTGTTTCTCTGGGTCTCCCTTGGGGTGCTCTCAGAACAACACAGTAGATCAGTCTTTCTACTGGCGTTCAATCACACAACACGCTCACACCCCTCACCAGCCAGATCCCAAGCTCCTCTAAAGGATCTCACCCCAAGGAGAGGCTTTCTTTCGGAACATTTTAGAAAATCCAGTCCAAATCTTTTTCAAGTGAACAACACTCAGATGCTTTAGATGTGTCCCCTCTCTCCCTCGCCCACACCCCTCCATTCTCCCATCTCCCTCCCCTGCCTGGCATCTCTTTCTTCCTTTCTTTCCCAGCTCCGCTTTCAGAAAAAGAAGTAGCTGTGAAAATGTCTGTGGGATTATTAGTTTTATTTTATTTCCTCTACCCCCCTTATGGAAGTCTTCTACACAAGAAGGACTAATGCGTAGTGTGAGGCGTGGGCTGCAGTATCATAGAGACAGTAGAAAGGTGTGATCACAACCCTGCATGCTCACATCAGAACACACGTCCTGCTTTTCAGCCCTGCTCTGTGAGTTTGGTTTGGCCTCTGTGTTTCCAGCCCACTCATCGTGGTTTGCAGCAGCTGAAGCTTCTGGGGCATGTGTGAAACACAAAGACTCATACAGTTTCTTTTTTTTTTTCTTTTGTCTGGCTTTTACCTGACTTTGCATTGAACCGCTGTCCTGCCTGCTCTCCTCCACAGATAAAGGTATACCAACACTGTCAGCAGTTCCTCAGCGAGTATCTTTAATTTTCAGACTCATCCATAATTCACCAACAAAGGGCACCGAACAGAATGGCGTCTAGCTGGATTAAAGGCCCAAGTACTGTATCTTTTCCTTTTGGTTTAATTTGAATAGATTTCATATTCATTGAAACAGCATATGAGACATCCAATTTCAATAAACTGAAAAGGAATAGAAACAGACAGGGTACGGCAGGAGATGGACCCTGACTACACAAACATCAGCATGGATAGCTGTCAGTGGATTTGGGGTGTCCTGAGGCTGCAACTGATTTCAGATGATAAGCAGTCTTTTGCAAACATCATAAATTTTGTTGACTATTTTGTCTTTAGTAAAGATGCCACAACTAGTTGACCTTTAAAGGGGCACTCTAACTATTTGTGTTGTATTTCCTTAAAGCCGGGGGCACTGCAAGAAACAGATGGTCATCCTGTTGACTACAACCCACTGCTGGGCATACGTGTACAGCCCTTTTCTGTACATTTAAGCCAAATCAAATGCTTTCACACTATTTACCATTTGCACTCATACATTCACACCCCAGCCACTAGGAGCAGCTTGGGGTTCAGATTTTTACTCAAGGACAATTTGACGTGTGGACTAGAGAATTCAGGAGCCGAACCACCAAATCTCTGGTTAGGAGACAACCCACATGACCTCCTGCACCTAAAAATATTCACTCACAACAGGACAGCCCAAGCTCTCTATTTGCTTGCAGTAACTAAGATGTAACTGTGATGACCTCTAAAATTAAAACTGTATGTAAATTCTGCATAAGGTGTAAGAGTGAAGGCAAGTTTAAAGGGTCACAATAATAACATTATTTCATAACTAGTTCTCAAGTTTGAATAATGTGACTGTTAATATATATCAGGCTTCCAGTATGTATCCATTAATCAGTTGGTGCCTCTATAATTCCCTGTTCCATATCTGCCATTTTTACACCTTTTACATTTCTGTTCATTTATACATTAAAGAAACGAGATACATTAAGTTACATATTTAATCTGACTTTAAACAAAGCTACTGTAAACTCATCCTGACTCCAGCTTTGCGCTTCAAACAAACATGAGATAAGAGGTAAACTTTTCATCTTCTCAAGACTGTGTGAGAGCATTTGGCTGGAGCGCATAATAGTTTGAATCTTGAACTATTGTTTTAAGTGACTGCAGACTCTTCCTCTCCTCCATCTTCCTGCCCTAGTTTTCTTCCCTCCTTCCTTTTGTTTCCAGTCACACAGCCTCGGTCCCATCAGTACCTCAGGGCTGACATGTTCACAGATGCTAACAAATGACGAGCATCCCCAATGACAGCAAGTCCATCTGTCTGTGTCACTGTAATTGAATTTCATAAATATAATCAGAAGGGTCTGTTATGAAGAAGCATGTAGTCTGGTCTCCCCTGTGTTATGACTGTGTATTATTCCACACAGAACAGACACTGTCTTTAGACATAATTAACAAGTGGGAGTGCAAGCATGATTAGCACAAAACATGGATAAATGTTAGTTTGGGCTAATGAACAGAGAATCTGCTGCACCATTTGTCTTGAAATCTAACATGAAGGAAGGCCCGGCCCTAACCAATTTGGCGCC